ACATACATACATACATACATACATACATACATACATATATATAGTATTATTATATTATTTTTATAATGCAGCCCACCAGTCCTTAGGTGTGGTAGTTGCATTAGTTTATTAGTTTTCTTTTTTCAAGAATTTATTTAAAGAATTCTTTATTTCCACATCATGTTCCTGCCAGTTACAAACGTCATGTCCCAGGGTGACAATCAGTTCTGAGACATTGTCATCTAGTGCCCAGGGTGAAGATGCCAAACTGTGCCCCCCTTTCCCACCAAAACATATTTTGTGATTGCATGCAGGGCCGCTGAGAAGGGGGTAGAACCAGCTGTTCTATACCAGGCCTGCAACCCCTGTAAGGACAGCAGGGGATGCCCAAACAGTTTCTCCCAATGAGAGCTCCCTATGATGCCAGCTTGTCAAGTACAAGTCAACTGAGTGGCTATACCAGTGGTGGCGAACCTTGGCACTCCAGCTGTGCCAAAACTACAAATCCCAACATGCATCTGCCTCTGGGAGTTATGTCTGTGGCTGTCAGAGCCTTGCAATGCCTCATGGGACTTGTAGTTCCAAAACAGCTGGGGTTCCAAGGTTCGCCACCACTGGGCTATACAGATCAGTTGCACTAGCCTGCGATTGTGCCCGCCCCCTTAGCGCCCCCCCCCCCAAAGTTTTCAGGGTGCCCTGCTCCTCAGGGGGGCCCGGTACCACGGCAAATAGAGTCAGGTTGCAGAACGGGAGCAGACAGAGGAACATCTGTTCCTCGTTCTGCTCTGTGATCAATGAACCAGGAACCACTTCCTACTTGAGAACTGTCGAAACCCGGCTAAAGTGTCGGATAAACAGACTATGATAGCCTGCACTGGAGGCCAGGTGAGACATCTGGGGGCTAATAGACCCTGATGTCTCCATAAAGAGAACCTGTCACCTCCAAATGCTGTCATATAGGGGCTTGTTAGCCCTTTTGTGATATTAAAAGTTAAGTTAAAAAAAAAATTAAAAAGGTGATGAATGTGCTGAAAAGGAAAATATTGAGAGGAGGAGAAATCATAGGGATGCAGATATGAGCTAATCACTGTGCTGCTTCTCCTTCAATGTCCAATCACAAGCTGGGGTGGATCCATAACAGTCTGTATTTAATTGATGCTGTCTGCCAATCAACCAGAAACGCTGAGGACATCTAATACCAGAAAGGAGGTGACAAGATCTAGACTGAAGGTGAGTATTGCAGCATTTCTTAATCTTTTAAAGGGGCCTTTTTTTTAACTGGAATTCTGCTTTAAGTGTTGTACTCCAACTCAACAATCCGTACATTGTTCACTAACTGCACATGTAATGAGAGTGCTTGATGGCAGTCCATGTGCAACCTTGACCCTCTCACACTATTGGCCCATTAGTTAAATCATCCCTGCACACTGAGTTTCTTTGCTACCAGCAGGCAAATCCGAGCAAGTCAACAGGGTGATAGTAAGAAGTTAATTTTAATGTATTTATCTTAATCTTGGCTAAATTCATTAAAGCATGCTGAAAATGACTGTTTGGTATTACCTTCCATGCCTCGGTGTGATCTCTGGATGCTGAATTATAAATAGCTTTCATTAGCATAAACGTGTCCTGTGTTTTCGCACCTCTTGGAAAGGGACCAATTATAGAGTTCTCACGGATTCAGCGATACATATGTATGCGTTAGTTAAACGGTAAAGAAAACATAACGTGACATAAGCAGCATGATCTAAAGGTGCTACAGCCGCCCTGTCTAAAATGTTAACATTATTAAGGTCAATTAAGGTCATGTTGATGAACGCTGATCACGCCATTAAGGATTACTTACCACATACTCAAAGACCAGGGTTAGTGTTTCCTTGGTGTGGATGATATCATGCAGTAGTACGATGTTGGCGTGTTTCAGTCCTTTTAGCAGTGAAGCTGAAAAAAAAGGGGGAAATTTGCTTTATAACATTTTCATGTAGGGTATAAAATTAAAGTTAAAGTACTTTTTAATTTTAATAATAAAGCCCAATTAACTTCAGTCAAGTCAGCTAAACATGTTCCTTTTGCATCAAGTTTTACTTTTGAAAGCAGCCACAGCCTGAGCAGAAAAGTCTGTTCCCCTGCCATACATACACATTATTGGGTACTCCACAAGGGAAGTCAGAAATGGAAAAGGATCTGGGGGTCATAGTAGACCACAGATTAAATAATAGTTTGCAATGCCAGGCTGTGGCAAACAAAGCGAGCAGAGTGCTGTCTTGTATTAAAAAGGAATGTACTGTAGAGACAAAGCAAGAATTCTGCCACTTTATAGATTGCTGGTTCAGCCTCATCTGGAGTTTGTGGTTCAGTTCTGGTCACCAATCCACAGAAAGGATGTCTTTGAGCTGGAAGTGAGGAGATTAAGGGGGGGCATGATTTCGATGTACAAAATGTTTAGTGGTGATAACAACATCAGCTATAAACCTTTTACAGTAAACTCCATAACAAGGACTAGAGGCCACCACCTAAAACTGGTGGAGAAAAGATTTAACCACAAGGGGCGTAGGGGCTTTTTTTCAGTCAGAGCGGTTAAATTCTGGAACTCTCTGCCACAAGCAGTGGTATCAGCTGAGAGTATTGAATCATTCAAAAAGCATTTAGATACCTTCCTCAGAGACCGCAACATACAGTTTCACTTATGACACACAGGGACACAGGGACACATGCACAATCACACACAAAGGTTGGACTTGATGGACCTGTGTCTTTATTCGGATCTACTGATAATCGGGGGCCGATTCACAAAATTTTAAAGTATCGGTATCAGTTTTAAATTGACCAATATTAGCGACACTGACAGTGAAGGGGAGCATCCGCCCCCCTCCCTGCCCCATTCATACCCCTGCCCCATTCATCTACCGGCAGCTAGATTCCACAGCCGGAATAGCTGATAGCAGGCTGGCTATTGCACCACCCACTGCCTGCTTTCAAATCAGCAGAGAAGCGGACCTGAGAGAAGGGGAGCGGAGGCTCCCCTTCACTGCCATCACTAGTAGGGGTCATCCTATATCAGGCCCACTGCCTGCTGTTTACATTCAGCTCCAAGATTCCGCAGCCGAATGTAAACAGAATATTGGTACCTGGCATTGGTTAATCGGCCAGAAAGGTGGCTCATAAATCGGTCTCTGTATCAGTTTGGGAAAAACCATAACGGTCCCTATTTCTTAGTATATTTTCTTTCCAGGTAAAATGTAATGTAATAATGCATTATGGCCACTAGATGGAACTGAGGAGCATAGGACATTCCTATATTCCTCATCTCCATCTAGTGGCCACAATGTGGTATTATATTACATTCGACCAGGAAAGAAAATATACTAAGAATGTTTGATCTTGCCTCTATTATCACAGAAGGAACATTCACAGAGGCCCTGAGAATTATTAAAAATAGATCCCTTAAAGTTTAGACAAACTTTTTTTTTTAGGGAGGTTCACCCTATCTGCCCTGGTGACCATTATCTCTGCCACAGGAAGGGAGATCGTCCAGTTGGAATACTTGTTCTGATGACGTCTCAAAGGGGATTTCCCTCAATTTGTTTTTAAGAACCTCCCCAATGAGACACAGTAAAAAAAAAAAAAATTTTTAAAAAAGAGCCTGAAGTCTCCATCCGAAGATAAGTTTCGGCTTTGGGTAAACTCTCAATCATAACTACAGGCACTAAAAATGTAAGACATAATTCTAAATATGCAAATTACAAATCCTGTGAGAATTAGTCACACTAGCAGTTGATTTTATATTGGCGGCTGCCAATCAGATCCGTCACAAAAGACTGGGGAGGCCATGTCCGTACTGTACTATTATGTTGGAGGTTCGAATGCCAATTCAGTGGGACCCCATCACCTAGTTGGTCCAGGAACCACGGCGCCATCTGTACACCTTGTGTTCAGGGTCAAGGCTCAGGATGCTGGAAAACTTGTACGCATCAATTTTATGGCACCTTCCCTTTATTAATCATTGTCCTCATTAAACAGTCATAATGAAGTAATGATATACAATGACAGGCAGCTTTAATTAGGAAAAAATGAGAACGTAATTTTAATATCAATTTATAACTCCAGTATCCATCTCATCAGTGATGGGTCTTTATTAGGATCAAGTCAAGAGAAGCTAAAATCCTTTGAGTAATTTTTCCTGCTAATGTAAATTTAATGTCCTATCGAGACATGATATGATTCATTTTGGAAAATTCTCACCAAAATTTGCCATTAAAAGTTTAAAAGGGCCAGTTCAGTAGGACATTACAGAAAATAGGCTCAAAACTAACACATTATTATTATTAATTAGTATATTATTTAATGTTATTATTAGTAGTAGTAGTAGTAGTAGTAGTAGTAGTAGTATTGTATTAAATATGACTAATGTTAAATAGTAGTAGTATTGTATTAAATATGATTAATGTTAAGTAGTAGTAGCAGCATTTTATTAAATATGAACAATGTTTAGTAGTAGTAGTATTTTATTAAATATGAAGTATTAGTATTTTATTAAATATGAAGTACTAGTAGTATTTTATTAAATATGAAGTAGTAGTAGTATTTTATTAAATACGAAGTAGTAGTAGTATTTTATTAAATATGAAGTAGTAGTAGTTATTTTTTTTAGTTGTGGATACAGTAGGGAAGGTTAAAGCCCTATAACTAAACAGATTATCATTCTTATTGCCCATATTCCACTAAGGAGGTTTCTCTTCACTTCCTGTCCTAGAGACTCTACAGGAAATGAGAGGAAATCTCTCAAAAGTGAATGGAATTCCCATTTTAGAGATTTGTCACAGGTACTCGTGTTACCATTGGAGGAGCTTCCCTCGCCCCTTGCTCTGATGACAATTTAAAATGTTTGACAAAAACACAAGGACAAAAGGACAAGGACAAAAAGACTGGTGAATCTACCCAGCAGGAACACAGGCAGCAATAAAAACCAACATTGGTTCTAAGCATTTCTACATTGTCCAAAAGAAAAAAAAGCAGCTTCGGATACATTTCAATGGTAAACCTGGCCCTGGTGGAAATAAGACCAGCTTAGCTGGGCTTGTAAGATGGTGAGGGCTTTCTAGACATTACTATGTGGCCACAATCACCAGCAATCCAGAAGTAGACAGAATATAATATGTAACAAAACAGTGACAACTGTACATTTTCAGATTCTCCATCACTTTCCTTCCCAGTGGCAATGACCACCAGGACAAATAGGTTTTTTATTGCTGTGTGTGTCCCTGCTGGGTAGACTGACCTCAACTATTTGTCCTGGTGGTCATCGTCTCTGGGATGGAACGTGATGGAGAATCTAAAACTGCACATTTGTCACTGTTCTGTTAAATATTATATTCGGTCTACTTTTCGATTGCTGGACAAAAAGGTTCTAACCCTTCTCCACTCTATTCAAAGATTAAAAACTTTGTAAATAGATACATAACATGTAATTATGAATAATCCTTAACGTGCCCCTATTTGTCCAGGTGACCATGGTCACTGGAAAAGTATTGGGAAATCCAAAATGTTACAGTTGTCACCAGAGCAGGAATAAATCTTCCAAATGGGACACCTGCCCTGGTGACCACTGTCTAAGAGGGGATGTCCTTCACTATAGAGCAATGTCCTTTCACTTCCTGTTATTTTCCCAGGATGGAAATTTCCCCAATAGGACAGGGGCTTTAACATTCCTTATTCTATCCTTAAGGGCTTGTACACACGATTTTCGGGTCCTGATCTGGTCCGGATCCTGCAGACGCGGTTCTCTGTATGCAGTGCGTTTTTGATGCATTTTTACCGCGGTCCGGACACTGACAGTTCTTTTTTTTTTTAAGCCGTGGGGCTGTCAGTATGCAGATTATTCCTGAGGCCACTTCCGCCCTCTCGTAACAACCACTTCCCTTTGTGTATGTAAAGCTGGTGATCAGACATGTATCACGTTTGCAGGCATGGTGTTGGTGCTGGCTACAGCAATCTGCAGAGAACGAGCTCGCAGGAGGTCGTATAGCGTTGGCGCATGCTCCATCATTCCAACAAAATTTTCTATGTCCAGGACCATGTTGTTCATGCCTACTAGTTTTCCCTCTACTGCTCCACCACAACTAGGAAGTCCAACGATGATGACATCATGAAAAGTGTAGCAAGAATACTTTTTTTTTTTTGCTTAGCTGCAGTGCGTTTTCCTTGCGTTTTGAAGCGTTCATGCGTTTCCAGACCGGACAAAATGTGACATGCAGTATTTTTTCTGTCCGGACCTGAACAGACTGCGCATGTGAGAACTGTAGCCCATAAAACACATAGGGATGCATTGGGATGCATTTTTAGTGCAGGAGCACACAGATCTGGTCAGGACAGAAACCGGACATCGCGTGAATAAGCCCTTAGATTGCAAGCCCTCACGGGCAGGGCCCTCCTTACCATCTTGTCTTGAATTGTGTTGTAACTGTAATGTCCTCCCTATATCGTAAAGCGCTGCGCAAACTGTTGGTGCTATATAAATCCTGTATAATAATAATAATTAAATACAAGTGTTGGATACAGAAATACTTTAAAGTTGAAGTTTAATTTGCTTATAGTTTGCCTGTGCTTCTTTAAGCGTTGGCTGGTATAAGGGGCCGGCAGGGTGCTGTACATAGCTTCCTGAAAACATCACAGCACCCTTCCTCAGTCTTCCTCTGAAGAGCCCTCATGCAAGCTGTGGGCCGACTCTTGGGAGGAGTTAAAAAAAAAATATATCAAAAAGACTTCATGGGTGGATGTCAGCCTGGGGGAGTGGGCATTCCCAGACAGGACGTATTTGCATGCAGACCACCCTAGGTAATGCCCACATGTGATGCTGAGCCTCCATGGATGAAAGAATTGTTATCCAATTAAAGAAAGTGGCGAGCCAGGAACAGTCAGGCAGGGGAGGAAAGGGAGAGGTT